TTTGGGTAGTCTGGGGTGGAATGAACAAAACAGCTCTCGTGAGAATCACCGGATGGCTTGGTTTAATGCAGAGACAAAATTCTATATTTGTTGGATATAATGCTTTTCATGTCCATTCTATCAATATTGATGCTCCAAAATACATGCGCAAAGACAATCCCCCCGGGCGGTGCCACTGACTGGGGTGTCTTTAGGTCATTCCCAAAGGGGAGATATTAATTCTATTGCACAGAAGAATTGTAAATGGGCTGATTCATCAAGGTCATGCTCAAAACTGTGCCGGAATTGCAACAGGGAAATGCTGTTTTTTCTTTCCTCATCCTTACAATCGTCATTTGTCCTCTACTTCTGTATGTTTGTCACTCTCTTGTGACCCGTTATTTCCGGGGTGCTTTAATACGTGATAGTCGAAGCAGACTTTGCAATGTTGAAGCTAGAGAGGTGAGCAAAGTAAGCCAGATTCCCTGTAAGGACTTCTCTTTTGACGTCCACCCCTTGGCGCTCATATTACCTTATACTTATGCAGTTCCGAGCACCGTATGACCTCTACTAAAACAAAGACAATTTTATGTTTCTTTGATTTCGCACAATTTTGCCATGTCTGATTTTTTTAGGTCAATTTTGAGTGTCCATATTATCTCTGGCGTCTCTTAACATTGATGAAGTTTTAATGGGTCAGATGATTTAGAATTTATTTAGTTTTAAATTGGTATGCTACATGAGTAGGTAATGCAAGGCTTTAACACCATGGTTGGGTGATTGCACTTTCAAGTTTCTTTTGGACGGCACCCGTAGAACAGCGGCAGTGTAAGTCAGTTAGCTTAACTGGTTCGTTCATTTCATTCATTTTAATGTGTCTCCCGCTTATTTAGAGAGAGTCGAACCTGCTCTAACTTCTAACGCCACCTGTATAAGAGAATCCCTTTTTAAATTTAAAAAAAAAAAACATATAATGATATTATATAAGACGGCTACCTGTCTAAGACAACCACTTTTTTCTTCGACTATGGTACACGGTCTTAGACAGTTTCCATCGTATTTCTGAATTCACAGTGAAGTGAGATTGCCAAGATACCTGAGCAAAAAAGCAAAGGAACAAACAAAAACCGGCAGCGAAAGTGCTGAGAACGGTGCAAACGGCATCTGTGCTGGGGCAGTGTAGGCGCTTCGCTGTCGCACTCAGGAAACCCGAGTTTGATTCCCAGTTGGAGAGGTTTTATTATAGCATAGTTCACAATTGTGTTCTTTATTTTTGGATGTTGTATCCCTCTCAGCCTTTGTTGGTCCTGAAAATCAGGGTCAGAGTCCACTTCCTAAATTATCTAAATTGTACTCCTAAGGGATAGAGCGCTCGTCTCCGAAGCAGAAAGTTCGGGTTCGAGCCTCCGTTCGGGCGCGGATTTTTTTCGCCCCCCTCCGTCCCACCCAGCAGTAATGGGTACCTGACTTCGAGTAGGGGAAGTAAGGGTGACGTGGAAAGGAACTAGCCACCCTACCGCAATATACCGACAGCCCAGGAAGTTGTCTCACTAACAAAGCAGTCCCCAATGTCTGGATCGGATGTGGGACAACTTTACTTTTTTTTACTTTATTGATAAGGGAGGGGGGAGTAAAAACACCTAAATGTACATTTGAAAAAAGGACAGCCTGGAAGGATAAGGGTTGGATGAGGGGTCAGAGACCCATCTTTGTAAAACACCTCAAGCTACAGAACGGCTAACAAGACACTCAAACGACATTTCGGACCCCGGAGACGATGCATGATCTTCAGCAGGAGAATTCATGCAGCAAGGCCGTAACAGCCGGGATCTGGAAGCTGCCAGGCAGATGACCTTCACCTCTGTGTTTTGATAACCGGCACTTGTAACACAATTAGATCGTATACATGTGCTGAAGATTGGAGGTGTTATAAGAGAGTAACAAACACAAAAAAGGAGGAAAGGTAATCACAATATATATGTTTTATAGGAAAGAAGGAGAAAACTACTCCAGAGCGCCCGCCAACCACCCACACCTTCATCTCCACCGAATCTGGTCAGAACAGGTTGCCCACCGGAGAGCAGCAAGGGATATTGTACAAGAAGGTTAGGGCAGATGTGTAGACAGCTGGAGAAACTGAGCCACGCTCGAGATGCTTGGGGAGCTCTTGTTGGCGATTTATGTCCCAGGTGGAACCACAGATGACGACGACAACGATGATGATGATGATGATGATGATGATGATGATGATGATGATGATGATGATGATGATGATGATGATGATGATGATGATGATGATGGTTCATCA